GTCACGCAAACATGTTTTCAAGTGATATATCTCGTTTGGTGACTGAGTGACCGTGTTCCAGCGCGATGGCCGGGGAACGATGAGGCCCTGAGCGCTCTCTGTGCCGGGTAATTCGGCCCCAGGGCCCCCAGCCAGGCCTCAATAGCCAGGTCTACGGCGTTCCGCGAGCCCGAGGCCCCCCCAACCGACCCAACTGGCCTCTTACGGTGCGGCCAGCCATCCTTGGTTGTCAACACGCGCGAGCCAGCCGCCCTCAGGATGAGCAAGCTGTCGTTCAGGGCGCGTGCCCTGGACGCCTCCAAGCCCATGCCGATCTACATGGCCGAGGAGCTGCCGGATCTACCAGATTATTCGGCCATTAACCGCGCGGTGCCCCAAATGCCCAGCGGCATGGAAAAGGAGGAGGAATGTGTAAGTCGGAACGTCTAGCATCTCGTTCCAGCATGTTTTTCCCGTCCGCCATCTTACTCACGGCGGAAAATTTCGTAAACAACCGGCAGATGGCGGCCCGCCCGTCATCGTGCACTCTGGAAAATTGTGAATTTTCCGCCTTTAACGTAATTGCCAATTCGCTCGTGATTCTCGACCGTTCTCTCCGTATCTTCCTAATCCTGGCTCGACTCTCCGCCACAACTGTCAACGTCTGGTTTGCCATTAATCGCGAACTCTCGCGCCGCTCCCTACGTCGCTCTGGTTTCTGGCGTCAAAATGTCAAGCGTCTCTGTTCCCGACGCTTTCATGATATTCTTGCAATGTTCCCTAGATGCCAGAACCATGTAGTTTGCAAATAACATAATACTAAAATCTTTTTACACCTCTACAATTATATATTTATAATATATTAATATAATACATTATTATATACTGATTTGTCAATTTTATTATATGCATTCCATTAGGCGCTGTTTAAGTAGTGAAAACATTGTAGTCATGCAGCATTGAAACAAGCAAGACATACTTTTTGAATCTGTTTTATTTCATCTCGATAATTTCTAGATTGATAAATCAAGTATAATTTTTATAACATGTAATACTAAAGTGTCTTGTCAGAAACATATGTCTAATAAGATTGTTGTAGATTTGTACATATAATTTGACAATACACATTTGCAATTGAATAAAACTCAATAATTATTTAAGTATTTACATTGAGTTTTCTATAATAAAATTTTAGTGCCAAAATTTAAATTTATTAAATCCCAAAAATGTCTTTATATTGTATTTCAAAAATAATGTATAGTAATGATTCTATTGATCAATGAGAATGCAGAATGCAATTTTAATTATAAATGGTTCTGTTTATTACACAGGAACATCATCTTCAACGAGCGATATGTACAGGTTTAATCATTCCTACTCCTGAAGTAACCGATCTGGCAGATGCGGAAGCTTATGACAAGATATATCCTGCTGATTATAAGCTGCCTCGCCAATTGATACACATGCAACGTAAGATGACGTCGAATATTGATTTTATTATATTTTTTTCTTTACTGCTTGCTATATTGGGAAGATACTTCCAGAAAACTAATAAGTTAGAGAATTTATCTTCTTTTTATAGCCTTTGCTATGGAACAAGACATACCTGACTACGATATGGATTCGGAAGATGAAAAATGGGTTGCGCTACAAAGTCGCAAAATGGAATTGACTCCTCTCCAATTTGAAGAAATGATGGATCGCTTAGAGAAGAGTTCGGGACAAACCGTAGTTACCCTCAACGAAGCTAAGGCACTTTTGAAAGAAGACGATGATTTAATTATCGCAGTGTTCGATTATTGGCTCAATAAGCGTCTTAAAACTGTAAGTATCACATTTTTGTAAATGTGATTTTGAGATTATGTCACTCTCTATATGTTCTCAAATTGTTTATTAAAAAGAAATAGAAATGCATACAAATTTTATACTAAAGACTTTTTTTATATTTCTTTTTCTGTAACTGATCAAATTTCTAATATTTCTATATCAGTTTCTATATCAGTTTCTTGAATATACGCACTATGACAATGTTAACATTATCATTTATTTTTTATAGCAACATCCATTATTATTAACGGTTAAAACAGAGAATCGATTCGGCTCGGCTGCCAACAATCCATATCTCGCGTTTAGGCGACGTACGGAGAAAATGCAAACGCGTAAGAATCGCAAAAATGATGAAACCAGTTATGAGAAAATGCTGAAGCTTCGTAGAGATCTTAGTAGAGCAGTCACACTTCTGGAGATGGTTAAACGACGAGAAAAGACGAAACGGGAACACTTGCATCTTACAATCGAGATTTATGAGAAACGGTTTGTGTAAAATTGTAATGATACTGTTGTTGCATATATTATGTGTTTTGTATGAGATTTTTACATTCTATTCCACAGATATCAAGCGCAAGACTTCAGTGGACAAATATTGGCAGAGGTATCAGCATTAAAGACACCAAGACCAGCATTTGCTCCACTCTTCACTAATCAGTTCGGTGTTCATCAAAACTGGACTAACAAAGTTTGTAAAGTATGTATTGATATCAAAGAAAGTATTTATTTAGCTTTGATATTTTATTTTTATATGTTTCGAAGGAATATTGTTTTCATATTTATTATTTAATTTTAATTTTAATTCTTTTTTAATTTAGGATGAAGTAGTACCCAGGAAAGAAAAGAGACAGTATAAGAAACGGAAACATAAAACGGACAGTAGAGGAGGAAGTTTAGATGATACTGGTATCCGTAGTGGAACGGGTAGCGGTGGTGGCCGAGGAAATCGCCCAGGAGTTCTTGGAAGTGGACTGGATACGCTCATCAGTTCGGACGACGACAGTTCGCTTCCATCTCATTCACACACTCAGCCCTCGTTACCCTCCGATCGTGATGACGAAGACACCGCAGATGAGGGTCAATTCGCCTTTCGTCGAAATAGGAATAGTTCTTACTTACCGGTAAATCAGTTTACATATGTCAAGATAATTTTACTCAATTTGTTATTGATACATTATTGATGACATTAATTCAATATAAATGCCTAAAATATTGGCAAAATATTAAAGATATAAAAGTCAAATACTATTCATAAAATTTTGCATTATAATATTTTATCTAGATTTATTTTCGAACAATCAAGTAATTATGTCGAGTGATTAATATGCTATTTATTTAGAATTTTTTATTAGACCTTGAATGGTACTATTTATCTAATCATTAGTTGTACTAATCGCCAATCTTGCATTTCATTAATAGATTGATAATATTAATACTGCATATGTTTTATATTTATAATTCTTTTTGTAAATATTACCGCAACTAATTAGGCCATTAAGATAGTATGTGAATAATCTGAATTATTTTTAAAAATTTTATTTTTTAGATATGCTAATTTTGTTTAGAATACTAATTTTGTTTTACAGCCTGTATCAGGTGGTTTTGGAAATTGGCCTTGGTGTGATAAAAGTGAAGGTGGTGCGGCTGATAAAAAATACAGGTTTGCGTTGACAAGTATTAGCAAACCAGTGCCAAGGTGTATCGGTCTCGCACGACGGAGAATTGGTCGTGGTGGCAGGTACGACATCTATCGACGCGATAAACATGAGATAGAACGATGTTTGACTGTATTTGTTTTATTTCTTGATGATTTGCAGAGTAATATTAGATCGCTGCGCATCCGATATGGATGATATATGGTCTACTTTAGACTTCACAATACATGACTCCAAGCGCGAGACAACAGATTCAAACGCAACCGCCACAGCAATGACAACCATCAAGAAAGAGTGGTAATATTTTTATAACGTTTACATTAAACTACATTATTCTATAAAATATAAAAATTGCCATTTACAATTTTATGAAAAAATAATTTCTATATGATTACATTTGTGTTGCAATTTGATAGGTTACATTTTCGACCAAAGACTCCTCCAGTGTCGATGCATAGTCCAAGCGAGGAAAGTAGCGATGATATGGACTCGGATGTAGAGCCAATAGTGTCTCGATCTAAGCTTCCATATCCATTTCCACCCGAGGCGACGTCCATATGCATCGAGGTGGAACCGGAACGTGCGGGTGACGAATCACCGTTTACATCGGAGTTTAATATCGCGGATTATTTCGCGATGGACGCCGTATCAGACTTTGAGCTCGCGGTCGCGAGCCTCGGTAGTACGGGTAGTGCGTGCATCAGTGGTCTCTCGGATAGCGGCGTGAACGAATCACGGACAGACGGCGAGCTGGGCAGTTCACATTTTATGGTGACGCCGCTCGCGAATAATCTGTTCGCGCCGCCCGTCACGACACAGACTCGGCTTACTCATTGCAGTGGTGGTTTTAGTGGTGGATCTAGTGTTGTACATACTTGTATGAGTTCTTTATCGATTCCTCCGTCGTCCTCCGTCGTCGCGTGTGCGACCAATCAAGCTACTGTGACATCGAATACAGTGTCCACACAGTGCACTGTTGGTCTCAGTGCTGTGGTTGATGTGCAGTCAAATCATCAACCCAAACAACAACACAGACAATTGCCAAACAACAGTACTGCTGCCTCCATTCTCTCGAAATCCTTGACTAGTCCGATAAATAATAGGAATGGTGGCAGCTGCGGCAATGGTGGTAGTAGCAGTGGTAGTGCAAACGTTAGAGTGTTTAGTGCAAATACCACATGTGGTGGTGGTAGTAGTAGTGGTGGTGGTAGTGGCAGTAATGGCAGTAATATCACAAACTTTGGTAATAGCCATCAGAACGGCCCGCTGCCACACATAAACAACTCTAACAATCTAACAAATAGCACTCACATTGTCAACAACCAACAGTCCACTATAGTTCTACCACAGAAGCATCCGCCGTCCAATCTGCTACCCGGCCTGATAACGCAAAGTAAATTGGCGAGCCTCGCGAGGCAGCAGCAACAACAGACACAAAATCAGGCTCCACAGGTCCCATCGTCTGGGGAAATTACGCTTAATAGTAATAGGTAATCTATTTTTGCATGTAATCCCAATAATTATATAAGATTTGTAGAAATGACGAATCTTCCTTCGCGGATGCTTGTGGTACTAAAAATTGGCAAGAGCATTGTAACAAAGTGTTTAGTAAACTGAAACCATGCCACTGCGGTAGCATGATCATATATAGAGTTTTACAGTTTTAACTTTATCTTGATTTATCATTCCATTTGATTATAGTGAAAGTTTGGATATGGAAGTGGATGGAGTGGATGGTTCGCCGTGCGACAGCAAATCGCAGCAACAACAGCTCGTACGAACGAATAAAACAAATCCACTGGCGATGGAAGTGACATGATGCCTGCTATTGGCACCCCTGTTGCCGCCAATACGTCACTGGGGGCTTCGCTAATTCTCTTACCTTGCCTACGATATTTGCTTCGGGCGGGAGATCGGACGCGTACTGATGATAGATTGCGCTACGTTGACAATGAAAGAGCGATACGGCTAGGTACAATTGCAAAATTGCTCCTCTGATTGGTTGTTTTATCGTGGCGATGCTAATCAGCAATAGCATGGATTCTAATGCAAGTACCAAGTTTCTTTTTCTTCTTATCGTTGGGGAGATATTTGCTCCATATTTTCTAAATTATCTTTTTCCTTGCTCATTGAACGATTAATAGTCATTTATCATTAAATACAATGATATATAATTATGTAAAAAATATTGTCCTTATTTCCTGTAGATACAAGATTCCAAAATTATCCAATTACTCGAGATTAAATTTGTTGTTAATGATATTGCTCGTTCTCCGTCTTTTCTGAGGATAAAAAATGATGTGTGATCTACATAAATTGGGTTCTGGGGCTCGCGAAAGATACAAATTTAACTAATAAATTAACTATAAAGAAAAAATGAAATTATATGTGTAATAAATTATTCTTCTAAAAATAGCATATAATACTTCTTCATTATTTTGAATGACAACAATCCTACTCGTTCAGTGCAAGGAAAATTGTAATCGGAAACTCGAGATGTAAACCATTAAGTTTATCTTGACATTAAAATCCTCACTTATCAGTTCAGTACTGTTCAGTTACACGCGACACGATTTGATGCACAGTAATGCAGCAAGCTTTCTCAGACACAGCATTGATTACTGAATTATTGAAATTCTGGAAAAAAAGTTCTTTAATTTCGCTCATAACATTCATCTTTCGAGTAGACATCCAAGAATATAGAGGTATTGTAGACATATTCGATCGATTATCATAGCTTATTCAGTTATTATAAAAACAAATGATCATGTTTTTGAAAAGAAATAATTTCGGATAACTTCCTAAAGATTCTTTCACAACCGTGCATGGGAAATAGATACAAAACATTACATTAGCAATGACAGGGATTGTACAGTAATCTGCTTGTAAGTACAATAGTATGCTCGAATTACATCTCGTCGCTTTCCAGATAAGTAAGACTACAAGAAAGGAAAGTAGATTAATTAATTTCTTACGAAAGTGTACGATTTTTCTCAATACTGTATATAGATTC